TGAACTTAAATATTGTGAGTAGACACAATGTCTGGCAGGAACACGGGCATGAGCTTGAATATTGTGAGTAGACACAATGTCTGGGAGGAACACGGGCATGAACTTGAATATTGTGAGTAGACACAATGTCTGGCAGGAATTCGGGCATGAACTTGAATATTGTAAGTAGACACAATGTCTGGCAAGAATACGGACATGAAGTTGAATATTGTGAGTAGACACAATGTCTGGCAGGAATACGGGCATGAACTTGAATATTGTGGGTAGACACAATGTCTCGCGGGAACACGGGCATGAACTTGAATATTGTAAGAAGACACAATGTCTTGCATGAACACGGGCATGAACCTAATATTGTGAGCAGACGCAATGTCTGGCAGGAATACGGGCATGAACTTGAATATTGTAAGTAGACACAATGTCTGGCAGGAATACGGGCATGAGCTTGAATATTGTGAGTAGACACAATGTCTGGGAGGAACACGGGCATGAACTTGAATATTGTGAGTAGACACAATGTCTGGCAAGAATACGGGCATGAACTTGAATATTGTAAGTAGACACAATGTCTGGCAAGAATACGGGCATGAACTTGAATATTGTAAGTAGACACAATGTCTGGCAAGAATACGGGCATGAACTTGAATATTGTAAGTAGACACAATGTCTGGCAGGAATACGTGCATGAACTTCAATATTGTAAGTAGACACAATGTCTGGCAGGAATACGGGCATGAACTTAAATATTGTGAGTAGACACAATGTCTGGCAGGAACACGGGCATGAGCTTGAATATTGTGAGTAGACACAATGTCTGGGAGGAACACGGGCATGAACTTGAATATTGTGAGTAGACACAATGTCTGGCAGGAATTCGGGCATGAATTTGAATATTGTGAGTAGACACAATGTCTGGCAGGAATACGGGTATGAAGTTAAATATTGTGAGTAGACACAATGTCTGGCAGGAATTCGGGCATGAACTTAAATATTGTGAGTAGACACAATGTCTGGCAGGAATACGGGCATGAGTTTGAATATTGTAAGTAGACACAATGTCTGGCAGGAACACGGACATGAGCTTGAATATTGTGAGTAGACACAATGTCTGGCAAGAATACAGGCATGAACTTAAATATTGTGAGTAGACACAATGTCTAACAGGAATACGGGCATGAACTTGAATATTGTAAGTAGACACAATGTCTGGCAGGAATACGGACATGAAGTTGAATATTGTGAGTAGACACAATGTCTGGCAGGAATTCGGGCATGAACTTAAATATTGTGAGTAGACACAATGTCTGGCAGGAATACGAGCACGAACTTAAATATTGTGAGCAGACACAATGTCTGGCAGGAATACGGGCATGAACTTAAATATTGTGAGTAGACACAATGTCTGGCAGGAATTCGGGCATGAACTTAAATATTGTGAGTAGACACAATGTCTGGCAGGGATACGGGCATGATTTTGAATATTGTAAGTAGACACAATGTCTGGCAGGAACACGGACATGAGCTTGAATATTGTGAGTAGACACAATGCCTGGCAGGAATACGGGCATGAACTTGAATATTGTAAGTAGACACAATGTCTGGCAGGAATACGGGCATGAACTTAAATATTGTGAGTAGACACAATGTCTAGCAGGAATACGGGCATGAACTTGAATATTGTAAGTAGACACAATGTCTGGCAAGAATACGGACATGAAGTTGAATATTGTGAGTAGACACAATGTCTGGCAGGAATACGGGCATGAACTTGAATATTGTGGGTAGACACAATGTCTCGCAGGAACACGGGCATGAACTTGAATATTGTAAGAAGACACAATGTCTTGCATGAACACGGGCATGAACCTAATATTGTGAGCAGACGCAATGTCTGGCAGGAATACGGGCATGAACTTGAATATTGTAAGTAGACACAATGTCTGGCAGGAATACGGGCATGAGCTTGAATATTGTGAGTAGACACAATGTCTGGCAGGAACACGGGCATGAACTTGAATATTGTGAGTAGACACAATGTCTGGCAAGAATACGGGCATGAACTTGAATATTGTAAGTAGACACAATGTCTGCAAGAATACGGGCATGAACTTGAATAAGTAGACACAATGTCTGGCAAGAATACGGGCATGAACTTGAATATTGTAAGTAGACACAATGTCTGGCAGGAATACGGGCATGAACTTGAATATTGTGAGTAGACACAATGTCTGGCAGGAATACGGGCATGAACTTAAATATTGTGAGTAGACACAATGTCTGGCAGGAATACGGGCATGAACTTGAATATTGTAAGTAGACACAATGTCTGGCAGGAATACGGGCATGAACTTGAATATTGTAAGTAGACACAATGTCTGGCAGGAATACGGGCATGAATTTGAATATTGTGAGTAGACACAATGTCTGGCAGGAATACGGGCATGAACTTGAATATTGTGGGTAGATATCTCGCGGGAACACGGGCATGAACTTGAATATTCTAAGAAGACACAATGTCTGGCAGGAATACGGGCATGAACTTGAATATTGTAAGTAGACACAATGTCTGGCATGAACACGGGCATGAACCTAATATTGTGAGCAGACACAATGTCTGGCAGGAACACGGGCATGAACTTGAATATTGTAAGTAGACACAATGTCTGGCAGGAATACGGGCATGAACTTAAATATTGTGAGTAGACACAATGTCTGGCAGGAATTCGGGCATGAACTTAAATATTGTGAGTAGACACAATGTCTGGCAGGAATACGGGCATGAACTTGAATATTGTAAGTAGACACAATGTCTGGCATGAACACGGGCATGAACCTAATATTGTGAGTAGACACAATGTCTGGCAGGAATACGGGCATGAACTTGAATATTGTGAGTAGACACAATGTCTGGCAGGAACACGGGCATGAACTTGAATATTGTAAGTAGACACAATGTCTGGCAAGAATACGGGCATGAACTTGAATATTGTAAGTAGACACAATGTCTGGCAAGAATACGGGCATGAACTTGAATATTGTAAGTAGACACAATGTCTGGCAGGAATTCGGGCATGAACTTAAATATTGTGAGTAGACACAATGTCTGGCAGGAATACGGGCATGAACTTAAATATTGTAAGTAGACACAATGTCTGGCATGAACACGGGCATGAACCTAATATTGTGAGCAGACACAATGTCTGGCAGGAATACGGGCATGAACTTGAATATTGTGAGTAGACACAATGTCTGGGAGGAACACGGGCATGAACTTGAATATTGTAAGTAGACACAATGTCTGGCAAGAAGACGGGCATGAACTTGAATATTGTAAGTAGACACAATGTCTGGCAAGAATACGGGCATGAACTTGAATATTGTAAGTAGACACAATGTCTGGCAAGAATACGGGCATGAACTTGAATATTGTAAGTAGACACAATGTCTGGCAAGAATACGGGCATGAACTTGAATATTGTAAGTAGACACAATGTCTGGCAGGAATACGGGCATGAATTTGAATATTGTGAGTAGACACAATGTCTCGCGGGCATACGGACATGAACTTGAATATTGTAAGTAGACACAATGTCCGACAGGAACACGGGTAGAACTTAAATATTGTGAGCAGACACAATGTCTGGCAGGAACACGGGCATGAACTTAAATATTGTAAGTAGACACAATGTCTGGCAGGGATACGGGCATGAACTTGAATATTGTAAGTAGACACAATGTCTCGCGGGCATACGGACATGAACTTGAATATTGTAAGTAGACACAATGTCCGACAGGAACACGGGTAGAACTTAAATATTGTGAGCAGACACAAAGTCTGGCAGGAACACGGGCATGAACTTAAATATTGTAAGTAGACACAAAGTCTGGCAGGAACACGGGCATGAACTTGAATATTGTAAGTAGACACAATGTCTGGCAGGAATACGGGCATGAACTTGAATATTGTGAGTAGACACAATGTCTGGCAGGAACACGGACATGAACTTGAATATTGTAAGTAGACACAATGTCTGGCAGGAACACGGACATGAACTTGAATATTGTAAGTAGACACAATGTCTGGCAGGAACACGGGCCTGAACTTAAAGATTGTGAGTAAGCACAATGTCTCGCAGGAACACGAGCATGAAATTAAAGATTGTGAGTAGACACAATGCCCGGTACATTAATGACATCATATTGACAGGCGCGCAGCAAGCCATTTTCTACGTGTAAGCCCGGTATGTCGCAAAGTTTTTTATTTAGATAGTATTAGGGGCTTGCCCAACCTTTTTAGCAGCAATCATGTGTAAGCCCGGGCTTTTTTATATAATGGTAGCTACGCCCCTGCTTGAGTGTTATGATAATCCAAAACTAATACTGGTTGTATGTGGCCTTGTGCATAGAGACCAGGTCACAAATCAGTTGTACTTAAGCAACGTTGTTCACAGGGGGTGGCACGTTTTGTTTTGTGCTCAAGGTGGTGTTAGCACACACTTCCTCACGCACAACCATTGTATGTATAAAACGAGACTTCTGTTTATCCAATCAACACAGGACGCTATGGCAAGCTACTGGGCCAACCTTGGAATACCGAAACACAAGCTTCTGATCGGCGTGCCGTTCTACGCGAAGACATTCTCTCTGAATGACACTACCGTGAATGGGGTGGGAGCACCTGCCCACGGCCCGGGGGCTGCTGGAAAATTAACTCATGACGCAGGAACTCTGGCCTATTACGAGGTAAATCATTAAGGTTTATATATTCACTGCCGATCTAATTATACTATTTTGTCCCCTTACCTTTAAAATAAGTATTTCAACTTTAGTTCCTTAACTTTTATTGAGTAGCATTACCTTACATACGTGTGTGTATTTCCTTGAAATAAGTTCTTCTTTTCGGTGGTATATATTATCTGAAACACGTTTGAAGCACGAACGCCATTACAAAGTTGTTAAAACTATCAGTCGAATCTCCAGCATTATCAGAGTATTCTATGTTCCAATGTTTCAGGTTTGCCAGCTTCTTGGCAATGCCACATCTCAGATGAGCGCCAACCAGTCAGTGCCCTACCTGGTGGACAATGAGAGATGGGTTGGTTATGATGACGAAAAGAGTCTACAAGAAAAGGTAGGGGACAGATAGACACGGGTACAGGCACCGCGTTACTTTTGTGTTAACCGCTAGCCTTTGTACAGACATTTTCACATATCTTTCTCTCCAGTGTTGCTTATCAGTGTTAGTCATATCTAAAAACCCACACATTAAAGGGTAAAAATGTTATATCTACAGACTCCAATTGATCACTTATCAGAATCGATTATTTACTGACCGCCGCCATATAGCTGGAATGCAACGTTAAACAAAAAACCCACGTCTTCATTGCCATTGTGACAATATACATTTAATACCGCCATGACTTAATGGCCATCTTCTTTAGGTGAAATACGTCATTGACCACGGCTACGGAGGCATCATGGTTTGGGCCCTGGATCTGGACGACTTTGGAGGAATCTGTGGCAAGAAGTATCCCCTCATCCACGCCATCAAAGATGCTTTCAACACCATTGTAGGCAAAAGGTGAATTTCTTAGGAAATGCACACAACTTGGACAGTTGAAAGGAAAGAACAAATATAGCTTTGTAGAACCCAGGATGGAAAAAGCTACCATAGCTCATATTTATGTTAATACTATTATCATCGTAAAGTAAGAACTTTCTTTCTTATATAAAAATCCATTTATGAACAATAGGTGTGGCATTAAGAGAGACTAAAGCAACGATGTTCCATACATGTAATATAACACCTCGTTTGATTGTTTAACTCCGCAATATTCCATCTATATGGCGTCGGTCTGTAAACAATCCAGTCTTGGCCAGACAATGCAGTGATCAACAGGATAGGCATCGATCTTCGCATTTTGGATACGATGACATGTGTCAACCAAGTCTGCAAGACTGACCACCAGATCCTGTTAGTCGCCTTTTACGACAAGCATGGGTTGCTGAAGACCACTTTTAACCCGGATCTTCACGGGTAGTGAGAGACCTGAAATACGATTGCCAGAGAATCCGTCCACATTTACAATAATAGCAACAAATCGCTTTCCATAATTGTGAGAAATATCTGTTAAGAGCAAATTCCATTATGCGATTCCGACAACACCATCAGCATGTGTTACTACCCTGCCCCATTGGAAAAGTTCATGTTCATCCAGTCATTGCTACAGTGTCATCCTTGACATGCATGAAGCCGTTCCCTATTGGAAATGAATAACAAAGGGTCCAGGTTAACGAGGTTTCACTACTTACAACACGTAACGGTTCATGAAGTGTCCGGTAGTCCCATGTGTTCCAGCATCGGGTACATCTACAGTGGTTCTGTCAGTATCTCTGAGGCAATCTATGTGTATGTTGACTTACGTTCCAGACAACTGACAGACTACGGTACGATTCCCCAGGGCAACGCTGTGGCTCCCACTCAGAACTTCAATGGAGGCGTCTCTGGAAGTAGGTTGGGTCATTTCCCGTATGATACTGACCATTTTACAGAATATATGGTGTCTGGCAACATTTACTCATGTTAGTGATTGCGTGTACTTTCCGTGCTATTTTGCTTTCAGATTTTGTGTCTACCTTCTTTGTTACCTTAATCCCTCTTGCACTCTGATTCCACCTCCAGTCTTGACAAGGACAACATCGTTTAACTTTTCCCTTGCAGACTTTGTCTTCATCTCCTGTCTTGACAAGGAGTACATCGTCTTTGTAGACTTTATATCCACCTTCCGTCTTGACAAGAGTTTATCGTTTAACTTTCCCTTGCAGACTTTGTGTCCATCTCTTCTCTTGACAAGAAGTAACACCGTTTAACTTTCCCTTGCAGATTTTATATCCACCTTCTGTCTTGACAAGAAGGACACCGTTTAACTTTCCATAATTGTGAGAAATATCTGTTAAAAGCAAATTCCATTATGCGATTCCGACAACACCATCAGCATGTGTTACTACCCTGCCCCATTGGAAAAGTTCATGTTCATCCAGTCATTGCTACAGTGTCATCCTTGACATGCATGAAGCCGTTCCCTATTGGAAATGAATAACAAAGGGTCCAGGTTAACGAGGTTTCACTACTTACAACACGTAACGGTTCATGAAGTGTCCGGTAGTCCCATGTGTTCCAGCATCGGGTACATCTACAGTGGTTCTGTCAGTATCTCTGAGGCAATCTATGTGTATGTTGACTTACGTTCCAGACAACTGACAGACTACGGTACGATTCCCCAGGGCAACGCTGTGGCTCCCACTCAGAACTTCAATGGAGGCGTCTCTGGAAGTAGGTTGGGTCATTTCCCGTATGATACTGACCATTTTACAGAATATATGGTGTCTGGCAACATTTACTCATGTTAGTGATTGCGTGTACTTTCCGTGCTATTTTGCTTTCAGATTTTGTGTCTACCTTCTTTGTTACCTTAATCCCTCTTGCACTCTGATTCCACCTCCAGTCTTGACAAGGACAACATCGTTTAACTTTTCCCTTGCAGACTTTGTCTTCATCTCCTGTCTTGACAAGGAGTACATCGTCTTTGTAGACTTTATATCCACCTTCCGTCTTGACAAGAGTTTATCGTTTAACTTTCCCTTGCAGACTTTGTGTCCACCTTCTGTCTTGACAAGAAGGACATCGTTTAACTTTCCCTAGTAGACTTTGTGTCCACCTTCTGTCTTGACAAGAGTTTATCGTTTAACTTTCCCTTGCAGACTTTGTGTCCATCTCTTCTCTTGACAAGAAGTAACACCGTTTAACTTTCCCTTGCAGATTTTATATCCACCTTCTGTCTTGACAAGAAGGACACCGTTTAACTTTCCCTTGCAGACTTTATATCCAAGGACACCGTTTAACTTTCCCTTGTAGACTTTGTGTCCATCTCTTCTCTTGACAAGAAGTAACACCGTTTAACTTTCCCTTGCAGATTTTATATCCACCTTTGTCTTGTCCTTGCAGACTTTATATCCAGGACACCTTGCAGACTGTGCTGACAAGACTGATGGGCTTTACCCTGATGCCTTGTCCTGTGATTACTATTACACCTGTACATTCGGCCAGACCATCAGAGAGCCGTGCCCCTATGGTACAGTGTTCCACAGTGCCATACACGTCTGTGACTTTCCACAACCTGATGGTGGATGCAGCTAATCCGGGACTGAGCTGTGGGTGTGTTACCTAAGTACATCCGCCTCTAAGAAGTAACCTGTATTCTGATGGGTCATTTCTTGAGAGAATAAACAAATTTAGGTGAATTTTGTTCTGGAGGGACATTGTATTTCACTCGGATGCAATACTGATTTAAACATAATTGTACGCCTGTCTGTATACACCAATAATGTCAAACTAGGGCTGGGCTGGGTCCAAATTTTCCACCCGGGTACCCCACTCCCTATTACCCTACCCTACCCTACCCGGATACCCGATATGTTAATTCCTGACATCAAATTCGTAAGAAGTGGCAATATATTCTTCAGCTCGGAGGCTAAAATTTAGAGTTTTCAATATCTTAATCGTGTATTACATTCAAAACAGGTGACTGTAAATAATGTCTAAATCTTCAAAGACAATACAACCTTTTAAACATGAAAGACTGACTGACTGACTGAGTTTGGTTTTACGCCGCTGTTAGCAATATTCCAGCAACATCACGGCGGGGGACACCAGATATGGGCTTCCCGGGTCTTCAGCACGAGGATACCCATCCCACTAGGCTGCCCCATGAAATAAAAGGATTCTGACTGAGGCACTACAATGGTTAAATCGTAGAAAAGGTTTTCTTCCTGACGTGACGAGCCAACGCTTTAACCACTAGACTACCCCACCGCCACAAACATGAAAGAATAACATATTACATTGTTTAATCTATTAGTCACATGATCATAACGGGTCCGGGTATTGAGACGGGTACCCGGGTCCAACTCATTATCCGCCCGTCCCGGGTATCCGGGTTACCCGCCCCAGCCCTATATCAAACCTATTTTATTTAAAGCAAAACGTACATTGGCATATTTACAGGGAGGGCTATGCAGTAGGGGAAATAATGTGGTTCATGAACTGTGAGACAGATTATTGGTAGGAGTACTTTATCTGTTGCGTAAAGCCCTACCGCAGCATACGACGTCGGCCTCCAAACAATCGATTCTTGACCAAACAAACGTCATTAGGAGCGAGAACGTAGTTGGAGCCACCGATAGGGCAGCATACCCTTACCTTTTCGCGAACACCTGCTATCGTCACTATTTGACAGTGATTTAATATATAGTGATGATATAGTCGGAATCGTGTAAAAGACTCCGCTGTTAGAGATCTCTTCTAATTACGGAATGGATGCTTCTTATCAGCAATGGACGAACGTTTGAGATAAAATGTCCAGTGTGTGTTAACAGCCGTTCTGGTCACCTGGTGGATCCCGGGACTATTCTCAAGTTTCAGACCGATAACCCACACCAACGTCAACTACAACAAGTGAGTGAGTGAATGAGTATAGTTTTACGCCACTTTAACAATATTCCAGCAATATCACGGCGAAGGACACCAGAAATGGGCTCCACACATTGTACCCATGTGGGGAATCGAACCCGGGTCTTCAGCATGACGAGGCTGCCCCCATCGTCCCACTAGGCTGCCCCATCGCCAACAAGAAATAAAAGTTTGTTTTAAATATTTTCTGACTGAGGCACTACAATGGTTAAATCGTAGAAAAGGTTTTCTTCCTGCATCAATGAGCATCGTGCACTTGTTTGTGTGTTGCATACCATGGATAAATAATACTACGAAATTATCTAGCTGAATAGTAGTAGTAACCTAGAAGCAAGCTGTCACCGCATGCAGGTTAATGATGCGAGGGGTCTCAGACGTTACCACTCTGGTTTCAGGAAGTTTGACCCCCACCCACCCCCACCCTTTTGAAATTAACTAAAGACCACACTAAAGTTAATGTAACATCATCAGTCGGATTCCCAAACATGGCCACATCAGACATGTTCTTAAACGGCTACACTTGCTCCCCATCAAGGCAAGAAGTGTCTACAAAATCTTCTGCTTGACCTACATGGCCCGTCACGGTCTTGCTCCCCCATATCTCTCTGACCTTACTCCTTACTCAAACAAACGCCGCCTTCGATCATCAAATCAAGAGTTGGTCCCTGCCTGGCGCTCGGCATTTATAGGTACAACAAGGACTGGTCGGCTCGGAGTCAGTATACTGTGTCTGAGTGGGGTATTCATGCTTCACTGCGGCATGGTATCTCAGTGGGCTAGCACTATAAAACCAGCTTAAGTCTGGGCTAGTACAAGCAGCCGCACATACACATACACACGCATGCACGTCGTCATATGAGCGAAATATTCTCAAGCAAGACGTAAAACCCAATTTCACCTCACCTCTAATCAAGAGCTTCTGTTTGTGCCAAACTTCAGGCTTAAAACTTTTGGAAACCGGACTTTTTCATATGCAACCCCAACCTTGTAGAATTCACTCCCATACAACCTTAAAGATGGAATCACGTTCACTGTATTTGGTAATGGTCTTGAGTGCAATATCTGATTTTGAGTTCAAGTTGATTGTGCGTTTCCATTGTGCTTTAGTAAAATATTCGAAGTTAGGTGTAGTATCTGTCTAAGTGGCAATGAACATAACTAAAATCAGTCAAACAAGCAATATTCAGTCATCATAGCTTGATCCGTTCTAATACCACCTGTGCACAGGTTTCTTAGAACATCGTGGGGGTATTCATCCTTGAAAACGTGTTGCTATATTAAAAAAGTCAAAATTTAAAGAACAGTTGGATCATATTAACCATATAGTGATGACACCAGAAGAGGCTGAGCTCCCGAAAGCACCCATCTTGACTGAAGGTACGTAAAGGACACAAAATAGTTTACCCGAGGCAAAATGAATTAAAACGACCCTATGTATTCTGTTGCAACAGACGACACTGAGTGCTAGTTTTCGTTATACTTGTTGTTAGTCTAGTATTTGTGTGATAGTTGAATGGACAGCAAAGATACATAACAGGAGTGCTGCGCTCTCTTGTGTCCAAGACAACTGACAGACTACACTGGTTCCATGAGGTACTGGAGTGGCTCCAAATCAAAACTTTAGTGGAGGGTCATTGTGAAATAGGATTCTGTTTGTGTTTTATTTTTCGGTTTGTTGTTTAATGTTGTACTCAGCAATATTCCAGCTATTTGACCACAGTCTGTTAATACTCGGGACCAGACAATCCAGTGATCAGCAACATGAGCATTGATCCACGCAGTTGGGATACGATGACATGTGTCAACCATTTCAGGGGGCGGCGGGGTAGCCTAGTGGTTAAAGCGTTGGCTCGGACGCCGAAGACCCGGGTTCAAATCCCCACATGGGTACAATGTGTGAAGCCCATTTCTGGTGTTCCCCGCAGTGATGTTGCTGGAATATTGCTAAAAGCGGCGTAAAACCAAACTCAGTCAGTCAGTCAGTCAACCATTTCACGGAGCCTGACCACCTGATCCCTTAGTTGGCTGTTATGACAATCATAGGTTGCTGAAGGCCAATTCTCCCCCAGATCTTCATGGGTATTGAAGTATGCATCTGTAGACTTATCCTAATAATTCTACAACTCTATGTAGGGATTCACACAAATGCTGGCCTAGGAACAGTAGTCCAAAGACGCTACTGTATTTGAGTTGGGAAAGTAAAAATATGATTACACTCAAACCAAAATGAATTACAATTATTTATTGATGATACGCTCTTCTCCAATAATACTGTAGATAGGTGCAAACCATGAATTAGGCTGCCTCCTCCTAGGACAACAAGGGGGGAAGATTGGATATGGATTATAACAATTTTCATTACTCTTTAGATGTATCCTCCATATTGTCAAACTTGTAGTTCCAACACCCTGATGGGAAATCTAGCTTATCGGGGTCAGAGCTATGGAAGTGTCACCTTGGTATGTCTGTCTCATAAAACATATTTTGCTTCTGCTGGATCGATCCTTGGGTTTTAAGTTGAATACTGTTCATGGGTGTTGATAAAGATCAAATGTCTACTCTGGGATGGTCGTCCATGCCAATGCCTGCCGCAAACTGAAGCATCTAGATATGGCAAGCAAAGACTGTTCTAATATAGTGGGGGCGGTGGGGTAGTCTAGTGGTTAAAGCGTTGGCTCGTCACGCCGAAGACCCGGGTTCGAATCCTCACATGGTGTCCCCCGCCATAATATTGCTGGAATATTGCTAAAAGCGGCGTAAAACCAAACTCAGTCAGTCAGTCTAATATAGTGTTACACAAGCTGGCATAATCTTTGTATTAAAGGATGACCATGTCCTGAACCAAGAACATGTTCTGTTTATGAATGATGAATGCCTGTCCTGAATGACCATCACTTATTTATTATCCTGTTTTAGTAGATTTTTACCAAGAACTATGAAAACCACCACCAAAAACATCGTAATTTGTTTCTACATCCGTGACCAGACTGATGGTAAAAACAAACAGAATCACTCTGACCAAGACAATTCTGAAAAATGAAATTGGTCACTTAATTGTCACCAAGCCGGTGTAACACACAACAAATTTGCAGCATTTGAACATTACCAGAAAACACAGGAATTGGAATAGTCGCTAGTTGCAAACATTTATTTATAACAATAAAATACTATGACAGGAAACATTATTATTGCACATACATTTGTAGCAACATAACGTGACGATCCCGCTGATAAGATTTACATACATAATGTTACAGTTTACATAATGCAGACTTTCACCCTTGGGAGGATTGTTACACTTACAAAAAAGACTTTCAAAAACATAAGCATGTTAAAGTGCGTAGAAATATTTCAGTAATGCTGTGAAGCTCAAATGATAAATAGATGTTATTCTTTAGAGGGAAATCTTGATAAGAATGTTATGGTGAACATTAGGGTTAGGGCTAACACCAGGGTCAAGGTCATGGTCAAGGTCAGGGACAAGCATAAGTCAAGCAATTTGTCAGGCTTAATTCAGGGTTGGTTTAAATCGGGTGAGGTCGAGGAAGACTTGGTCAGGATCAATGCCAGGGTTAGGGTCTAGGACACAGGCCTACCAAAGAAAACTTCCCCACTGTGCAGAAAAACGCAGAAAAGCCCACATTAATCGTGGAAATAGCAACATAAACATAATACCTTGCTACTGAAACAGTGAAAACGGCAACTTTAAATCGCTAACACTGCATCATAAAACGAGGAGCCCGCAACTTCGATTTTGAGCATGCGCACATGGAAGAGGAAATCTCGACCGCATGTTGACATTTTCCAGCTTGGACAAAAGTTACATTCCTTTTTAAGTATTTCTGTTGTGTTATTTAGCATTTATCATCATGATACTTGTGTGCACACATGTTTAGTTTACTTTCCATTCGTATGAAATGATTGACAGCAATTATTTCGACATATTTAATACTTTTTCTACGCGCGGGGATTCACGGTTGCTCGGATATTGGAAAGAAGCCAGGACCGTAATGCGCATGCGCAGTAGAGGTCAAAGTTCGCTGATATAAAAATGTTGCAGTTTCATAGTTTTTCGTTGCCGTTTTTACTGTTTCAGCAGCGAGGTAATGTGTTTATGTTCCTATTTCCGCGATTAATGTGGGCTTTTCTGCGTTTTTCTGCACAGTGGGAAAGTTTTCTTTGGTAGGCCTGGGACAAGGAGAGTTCAGAGAACTGGTTGTTCCGGTGCACCTATAGGTCAGGGTCAAAGTCAGGGTTGGTAGAAGGTCAGGGTCATCAGTAGGTCAGCGTCACCAGGAAGTCAGGGAGAGTTCAGGGTTACCGGTGGGCTATGGTCAAAGTTATGTCAAAGTAAGGGTCAGCAACCATAACCCTCAATATAACAGAGTGTTGCAAGTGACATTTCCCAATTATATGGATAATATGCCGCAGAATGTCAAGTGACAAGGCCAGCCAATCACTGTCCTCCTGACATGATGGCTCTGTACATCATCTCCATCACATGTTGGATTTGTTCAGGTGTGCTATGACATGTTGATCACTTTTGAAACTTCATTTAACACATCAGAGAGCTCGTTTTCCAGGTTCAAGATGTCACCTGAAAAAAACATGAACACAAAATTAGAAAACAAACATTAAAACAACTTTTTTCACAAAGAAATGGAGATCAAATGAATTCTTTTGCATTCATTTTGGGTATTGTACTTCTTACATGGAAAGCTTCAGAACCTGATCTTAAAACTAGCATGCAGTGTATGTGTTACACATTCAGGTGGGGGTTACATACCCTCAAGGGGCACAGAAATACCCTCAAGGGGCACAAACATGCCCTCTCAGGGCACATAAATATTTTCTTTGGGCTAAAAAATACCTTTTAGGGGCACAGAAATACCACCATGCCCCTACTTGTAAAGTGAGATTTGACATTTTTCGAAATAATTTTCACATCCCGTGATTATTGTTAAGCACAAAGGCAATTCAAATCTCACATATATTCACAAAGATTTGCAACATTAGTTTCCATCATATATTCTGCAATTCATTGGCATCTTTGAAGCTAGACTCTTGACCTCCAGATAACTGCAACACTATAAGCTATGATGAAGTGAGTTTATTTTTACGCCACACTTAGCAATATTGCAGCTATATGGCGGCGGTCTGTAAATAATGGAGTCTGGACCAGACAATCCAGTGATCAACAGCATGAGCATCGATCTACGCAGTGGGATATAGTGTCAACCAAGTCAGCGAGCCTGACCACCCGATCCCGTTAGTTACCTCTTACGACAAGCATGGGTTACTGAAGATCAATTCTAACCTGAATCTTCAGGGGCTATAAGCTATGGGGACCTAGATTGGTGTACCCACTTCAACAGGTTTGTCCTACCACACAACTCATTATATTTCAGGTATGTCTTACAAATGCATGCTTTGGGTTGGGGTTGGGAAATCAGTTTATCATGTATCCATTACATTCATTTGCAGAATGATGGCGACAAAAAACTTGGAGAAATTCCCCTTAGAGCTATATCATTTGAGACAAAATGAAAATATCGAGAGAATTGCATCTTACATCGATATTTGTGTTTACAAAATTGCAGTTGATATGTTGCAAATGTCAATCGTGCTGCAATGCTAGTGAGGAACATAAGAATAACATGTTAGCAGGTATATTGACAATAATTTAGGTTATCGGTAATTCAGAATCTTACATTCATGGGTAACGTGTTTTGTTACATCACAACTGCAATATTGCCTATAGTGACCATGTATATGGTTATACTACACTAACTAAACCAGTTGTTTAGCAAACCGTTTTCTTAGGGAGCGGGGCGGTAGGGTAGCCTAGTGGTTAAAGCGTTGGCTCGTCACGCCGAAGACCCGGGTTCGAATCCCCACACAGGAACAATGTGTGAAGCCCATTTCTGGTGTCCCCCGCCGCGATGTTGCTGGAATATTGCTAAAAGCGGCGGCGTAAAACCAAACTCAGTCAGTCAGTCAGTCTTAGGGAGCTTTCAGTGCAGATCATCTGGCCGATGTGATTGGATGATTTTGGAAAAGATTTTTGTATTTTTTACATGCATCTTCATCCAACAATTAAAACTGACCATGTTTTTCAATATTTAGTGCTGTTCTTTTTAACACAATGACTTGTACAGAATGTGACCACACATACTTTCAAGTGGGTGACCATCTGCACAGAACTGAAGTTGATCTGTTTAGCTTCCTGTACTTGGAATACGAACTGGTTGAGCTAGTTATTGCTTGTATTTTTATTGCTGCTTTAGTACCAGACTATGAACACTTAACATGTAGAAGATGTTGAGGGCTCTCGTTACCGATATGTTTTTTTAAGAGATATAACATTTTGAGAAACCACAAGGAAGATGAAAGGTGATCTGACATTTCATAATGTGTTCATAAAATCCCTGATGCAGTCTCCTTTATTATCTCCCTTGCACTACAGTCGAGACTGTGGATTCTTACTGACCAGATGAAGCATTCATAAAATCACTAACTAGTCTCCAGTATCCACAAAACAAGTAAGTGTTGCTGAAAAACAGCTCTAACCTGGATCTCCACAGAATTTACATAATGTTAGGCAGGCTAAGAGTGCAGCAACTGAAGAAAGCTTGAAAAGTCTACTAGCCCAAGTTGTGTGTCATAGTCATCAACTGAAAGCTTGAAATGTACTGTCAAGAATCCAGTTAACTCACAATGAGGGCCTTGGCTTTAAAACTTGTTAAAACTGGTTCAGATCATGTGCTTAAGATTTAGAGTCAGAGAGTGAGTTGGGCTCAATATCATGAGTGAGTCAGGTTTTATACCATTTTTAGTAATATTCCAGCAATATCATGAGTGAGTGAGTCAGGTTTTATACCATTTTTAGTAATATTCCAGCAATATCATGGTTGGGGAAAACTGAAATGGCCTTCACACATTGTACCCATCGAGGGAATCGACAAATTTAACGACATTTATAAACAAAAGACAAAGTCATCAATATCCCCCGCAATGGCAAAATACTCTTATGAATATGTGTACTAGTTATGATTATGTCAAATGTTTTGGTGTGTATATGGCAAAGTGGAAGGAGAGTATTGAAAGGTTTTTAAGTTCTGCTCCAGAAAGGAGCACTACCACCAAATTCAGTCGAAGCCAAACTTGTTGCCATGGAAACACAAAAAATATTTTATTCAGAATCCCAAATCTACCAAAACTCACCAGTACACTACCAGACCTATCTATGTGCCAAGTTTGGTGAAGAAATAGTGAACGGTTTTAAAGTTCTGCTCCGGAAAAGAGCACTACCACCAAATTCAGTCAAAGTCAAACTTTTTGGCATGGAAACACAAAAAATATTTTATTCAGAATCCCAAAACTACCAAAAGGTGCCAGTACACCACGAGACCTATCTATGTGGAAAGTCTGGTGAAGAAATAGTGAATGGTTTTACAGTTCTGGTCTGGAAAAGAGCACAACCACCAATTTGAGTCAAAGTCAAACTTGTTGCCATGGAAACGCCAAAAAAATATTTTATACAGAAATCAAAAACTACCAAATGGCACCAGTACACCACCAGATCTATCTATGTGCCAAGTTTGGTGAAGAAATATTGAAAGGTTTAGAAGTTCTGGTCTGGAAAAGATGAAAGTACATGGAGAGACGTTGCGGGGGATAAAAAGACTGAGTAAGAACAATAAATAGTTTTTCTCTTTATGCTTTGTTATTTCTTCATACATAAAGTTAAGTAAGATTATCCAGCTAATGCAATTTCATCACCATAATATAATCACTGAATCTTGTACAATGAAATGTGATGCCTCTGATTGGTTGAAAACCTGTGTTACAGACTTGGAATTCAATGCCTTGGTGAATCTGTCCTTTTCGATCCAAAATTTGACAAATATTCCATTTGGTGTGGCTAAAATGGATACCATTTTAATTAAAAATTAGTAGGATCAATATTCAAGGCTGACATGTAAACATTTACTTCAGGAAGAAACTGATAACTTGTATCAGAGACCACTGCTAGTATGTTGCACTTTGTAGATAAACATTATGTGTCTTAAAAATTTGTATGTGTTATTTCATATCTGATGCCATGAAGTTAATTGGGGCGGTGGGGTAGCCTAATGGTTAAAGTGTTGGCTCGTCACGGCGAAGAACCGGGTTCGAATCCCCACATGGGCACAATGTGTGAAGCCCATTTCTGGTGTCCCCCGCTGTGATGTTGCTGGAATATTGCTAAAAGCGGCGTAAAACCAAACTCAGTCAGTCAGTCAGTCATGAAGTTAATTTGAAATGATTTTTCAGGCATCAAATACTCAATTAAAAATAATAATCTGAAAACACATCTGGAAAATGTCAGTCATGTTGATATACAATCAGGTCATATTGAGCTGCCTTGTAAATAGTTATACAAGACACCACTGTCTTACCTTAGCTCACAAAACTGGGGGTAGTAAGTGAGCATGGATTTATGCCAACATTCTAGCAATATCACGGCAGGGGACACCAGAAATGGGGGTAATAGTGACCACCAAGAATTTACTTCAATGGTTGTTACAGAACATAAGACTCCTGTATATCGTAATATTGTGTAATGTACTGTAAGATATGATAATCAGGCCAGACCAAATTTATTTCTTGTTTTACAGATTTATGGCCTCAGAAAACCTAAAGGCAGGAGGGAAAAAAATAAAAAATAAAAATCACTAGTCAAAATCATTTTCCTTTTAAACACTAAAAGTATTTTATTTTTGGCAATTTATGAAGTTTATATGGGGCAAAAAACAATCAAAAATTATTTTTGGGGGTAAGTTTGCATTTTTGGCCAACAAAAACATGAGGAATTTAATTTTCTGAGTGGGAAAAATTAATATTTTTTTATTCTTCTTATTCTTGAAAAAATATGACCGGTGGATCCGTAGAAAACAAGAAATAAAATTGGTCTGGCCTTAATTTCATTACAAAACCTACATATTTCTTGTCAAGAATTGAATACAACAAATATTACTGTACATCCCTCATAATGCAATATACATTTTCTCAATACATTCCATTCTCCACATCTGTGTAAACTGGATGCAAATTTCTGCGCAGTATAAAATTAAAGGCCACTGTCAAGATGTTATTATTACACATTTGAAAGGCAATCTCATCAAATCAACTTAACCTTATCAACTTAATCAAAGCTTTTATATACAACTTAAGAAGTAATTTACATGCCATTTCCAAATAAAATAGATGAGCTTTCATTCCAGCGTTTATTTTTTCCAGAATTAAAAATGTATTAGAAGTAAAACGATTTAAATCAGCCAACTGACCCAAAGGTTACCCTTGTCTTGTTCTAGCCGTTGGCAATGGCTGTTTAAATTGTGTGTACATTAAGCCTCGGCAGATAAGGGTGCTGTTTCTCATCGATATGGCCGACGGATATTGTTCAAGATGCTGTAAGGGTATGCATCCAGCACAATGAAGCTGAAAAAACTTATCAGAAGTCTCAGAATAGATGCTCATAGCCCAGTGAAATATGTAGACTAAACCGCTCATATCAGTCGCTTATCATCTCCATCAGCTGTGAGTTTGTGAAGTTAAAGTTTTATTTTGTCGTGGCACAGTGAGGTCTGCCTACTGTGTTGTGAATATTGATGTATACTATCTGTAGATTTGGTGTGTCTCGTGCTCGTTTGAAACTTCACATAGTCTCGTGTTTGGAGGAAAGACAGCACGATAACAAGCCAAAACACAATAGAGTTATCTCCTAAATAGAACTTGTTTAGAAGGGTTGTAAATGAAGTTAGACTGTAAGATGAATCAGAACATCGTTAATGGATCTAGAAAATTCATGTGTGAAGGTAGAACAAACAAAATATTTTAAACATTTTAAGCTAAGCTCTGCCTGTTTTTAGGTAGACTGCTGAGAATATTTTAAGAAGACTCCTACACATTGACGTTCAATTGTTCATTTTGATCTGATATATCCTGATACAATTGTTCTAAGGGGGACTTTTTACATTTAGCTGTTCTTTTGATTAAATACATAGTTCAAATTATTCTTAGGAGGATTATTGAACATAAATACTCAACTTAAAACATTCAGTTGTTGCTTCTATTTTCATATAAACTGCTCATATTATTCTTGGAAGATTCTTGACTATAACGTTCAACCGTTCATAATTCATTGCTATAAAATGTTGAAATTATTCTTGGGAGAATTTTTTAATGTTACAGTTACATTATTCACTTTGGTTGATATGAACTGTTCAAATTATTATAAATGTTCATTACATTAAAACCAGTATAGGGCAAAAATCATCAGCCCGTTACCTGTATTGGCATCAGATTTGGCTATCATGGACACCAAGAGGGGTTGCTTGTTGAGCTGGACCACCTGAAACACAGAACATTGTATGTCAAACAAATCAATGAATATGCATCAATGTTTGTCACCTTAGTAACCTCACACTGCTTCCCCATTTCCAGTACATAAAACACCACTATTGTCAAGAGACAGTTCTGAATTAAAAGATGGAGGTTGTAGTAGAAAGGTCAAGTTCAGGTCAAGGCCAAAATTCAATGAAGGTCAATTCAAGTTCAGGTCAAGGTCAAACTTCAATGACATGGAAAAACACAGATAGTACCTAAGGACCACTTAAACCTTTGAAATGTATCTGTATTTTCTCTAAATATCTGTAACAGATGTCATACAGTGGAAGCTGTCTAAACCGGTATTCCCGGGACTGAAGAAATAATCTGGTTTAGACAGCGTGCTGGATTTCAGAACTGACACAGATACCTACTACTTGACCTGAACTGAGTTTTGTCACTCACATATACATTGTTGTATCATGTGGTTCTCTCAATTACTGCACACATTGACAATAAAAGACAAAGATTTGAGCTCAAGTGTCAACTCACTAATTACATGTACAAGTATACCCATACTGAACTATGATTAAATTATCTTTGGAGGCAGCAATGTAGTTTCAACACAGGATTAATTGGTGACAATACACATCCGGCCAACTCCTCGCCATGCGCAGGATTAGACAGCGCTGATTACTGTATAAAAACATATTCGGGCGGCTCATTTCATGTCAAGATCCGGAATTGACGGCTGCCGGATTGCAGAGCTTTTATAAAAGATGGTAAAAGCTCTAGCTCAGATGGGACTGAGATTTTATGCTTGTGTTGACAACTTGCCGGATTGGAAAGCCGCCAGTTTTGACAGCTTCCACTGTATTTGGGATTACACTTTTTCAGTATAGTACAAATTTGTACTTTGTCAAAAACAATAGCGCTTACGGAGAGTGACATGAGCCATTGTGAACCATTGTAAATCAGTTACCAAAGGCATGTCAGACATGACTTGAGGCTATGCATGCATCTGTTTTCTTTCTCTTTGTAATTATGTTTTGATTTCTGGAGTCTTGTTACTGAAAATAGCAACTACTGAAGGGAAGCCTGGAGCTCCTTGGAAGGAATGTTGAGAGTTGAGATACATGACACTACATTTTCAGTACACTCAATCGCACACAGACACTCTCACCTGTACATGGATGCAGTGCACAATATAAGTCAACATTGAAATATGGTATTTGATATTTAATAGTTTAAACATTTTATACACCTAAGTTCACACAGTTTTGTCTGAAAAATCTTTGGGTTGGTGGTTTCTGGTTTCTGGTGACAGACAGGTATTTATTTAAAAAATCTATATCCTCTTTTGGTATAAATATTTTATCAAAATGATATACAAATTATAAACATTGTGTCTGCAATAAGTTAAGCTTTTCTTAACAAATAATGTTCTTCCAAAAATTACATAACTATAAGTTAAGCTTTTTTCACATAACTGTTGTGACCTATTTTCATGCAATCTGGCCTCTTTCGAACAAATTTCACTTGTGATGAACACTTGAATTTACAATCCAGGAACAAATACACACCTGACATGCTCTAGATATTTCCTAGATGATCATGACGTTAATCACCAGTTTGTCCTAGACTCACTTATACTGCCCATCAAAAGTTTAGACTCACTTACAGCACTCACTATATGTTATGTATATATATACAGTTACATCGAAGATGAATTTCTCAACTAACTTTGGGGAACCATCTGCACACCTTATGCAGATGAACTGCACGAGGATCATGCATCAATTTTCTGAAAAGCATGTGTAAATATCATGCATGTGAACAGCTGCATTTTGGTGTAAAGTTTTGTTAAGAATTCGCCCATTTTCACTGAGTTTCATGATTTATTGAACTCATGAAAATAATTTTTTCAACGTCACGAATTTGTTTTACAATACATCAGTTCATGTGTAAACAGTGCCTTTAAACGGTATGGGATATTTAGCAACATTTAGTTCAGAACAGTTGACTGAAGTAAGTGGCTACATTTACACTAGTGAGTCTAAACTTTTGATGAGTAGTATATTCACAGACCACCCTCATACAGCTGGAATATTGCTGTTTACATCATTAAACAAGAAACAAACACATTTTCCCCAATTTTCATAAGTAAACCAATGAGGAAGAACACCATGCCTTTCAAGGCCACACAGTGTGAGAAGGTCATGCCTTAACCACGTGCATCTTGTAACCAACTCTTTATCAACGAAAATAGAATCAACGGTGAAATGAAACAATACACACATGCTACAATGTCTCTGCTGTTTATACTTCATCCACTGAACATCCAAAACTGAAACACTGAACACTGTACTACCACTCCCCAATGGAGATGGCCACTGAATAAACCTCAAGTATTTTCACTGATAACAAACAGGGCGAAATGCTTCTTTTCTTAGCTCCTTCTTATCAACCACCTCCATAACTTTAAGGACATATTAAGCTCTGCCTCTATTTCTAGATTGGAGTCTGGGACTATGTTTATGGAGGAATTGCACATCCGACATCTGTCGTTATGCCCAGACAGTTCTATGCTTAAAACATGGACAGGCCAATCTTTGTGATGAACATCATATTTGTCTTTCTGCTTGAATGTTTAAGAGCAATGTTCTTCTCAATTGACTGTCGAACTTCAGAAGTAGAATGGTAATCTTGAAATAATTATCATCAGAGGACACTAATGAAAAGTGCTTGAAATGTTTATATCTTAAAATTTCTTTACAATGCAGCATCTGTCAGGGATGTATAAACATATGATTTCTTTGGTTGGTAGGTTGGTTGGTTGGATGGATGGTTGGTTGGTTGGTTGGTTGGTTGGATGGATGGTTGGTGGTTGGTTGGTTGGTTGGTTGGTTGGTTGGTTGGTGGTTGGTGGTTGGGTGGTTGGTTGGTTGGTTGGTTGGTTGGTTGGTTGGTTAATGCTGCACTCAGCAGTATTCCAGCTATATGGCGGCGGTTTGTAAATAATCGAGTCTGGACCAGACAACCCAGTGATCAACGAAAGCATATAACATGCTCAAAGGAATGTGATGTTTTCTGTTAAATATTTTTTGTTCTGTTTGTTTGTTTATTTTGTTTCTTTGTTTGTTGTTTAACGCCGCACTCAGCAATATTCCAGCTATATGGCAGCATTCTGCAAATAATCGAATCAAACATGTCAGCGAGCCTGACCACTCAAGCCTCTTACGACACGCATGGGTTGCTGGAGACCAATTCTAACCCAGGTCTTCACAGGTTTTGGTTCTAAGAACGTATTCTTAATTAAGAGCTCAGAGAAAGAACTCTGCTCAGCAATTCACTGAAAATGTTCTTGGTTGAGGTGGTAGTTTTGAAACAGTGATTCATGACATACAATGTTTTCTGTCTGCTTCAAGACATACATATCAGAACAAAAAGAAAATTCCAATTTATGTTTTATGTTTCATATGAAAGGGTCAGAGGACTGCTTCTTACTTTTCTCACCACTAACATCTCTCTTCGCTTACATTCCCTCTCCCCACTAGTGGTGGTCCGATTAATTGAAATAATCAAAGATTGGTCGCACTGACTAAACGACCAAGCAATTGATCCTGTTTTCTCATAATCGAACACAAACAATTCTGGAACACATGTTTTCATTAACAGTATTTTTCACTAGGTTGGTTTTGTCTGTTATATTTCATAAGCACTACAAGCTCGTTCCAAGTCATGATTGAAGTTATCTTAAAGACACTAAGAAATTTATGTTCCTAACATACTAGTCATCCTTTAAAGATGTGAAATTCTGCCCAAAAATACCCCAAAGAACTACATGTTTTTGTCCCTTATTTTTCTGTGCATCAACAAATTTCATAAATGACGCTAACCGATTATTTTCGATGATTGATCGGTTGTAATGAATCAATCATCAATTATGAGATTTTAACCAATTCCCATCACTACTCCCCACTCCTACATTTTCCCATTGTTGGGATAATAAATTTCGCCCATATTTAATAGATTTTTTCTTTTGGGGGCCAGAATAATTGCACCAAGTCTAAGCAGATGAAAATGCCCTTTATAATGAAATTATTACCAGTTGAGACGGTAAAGATATTGATATTATCCTCCTAACATCATTGTGTTGTCGCATTATGGTAAAATGAACTCTCCCGAAGAACACTGTGATCGCAGAGATCACTGAGAAGAGGAAAAATACAGAACACTTGTCTTTTCTCAGTTCACGTTTGTTTCATCTTGTGACCTCTCTACTTCAAGGCTGTGTCACTCATGAAGATATCATCTTTATAAGGTAACTCGATGAGTTAAAATGTGTTATTTGAAACCAATATCCTCTATGTACATATCTAGTGAGGTGTTCTAACCATTAACATTGTTGATACGTTGTAAGACTGTTGAGACGTGTTTACTTTCTACTTCCACACCAACATAATGAGAAGTCTACCCTTTACGAACCAAACCTTGACATGCATCCATCATACTTGTTGTATGTATATTACTCACAATATGTTAAGGGGCACCTGATTATGTCATATCACAATAGTTAATCTGACATGACATGATCAAGCATCTCAAGTAATAGGATGAATTGGTTGGTCCTGAACTGTCATGCCATCATGGTCATGTCATTTATTTGTCGTGACATGTCAGATTAACTCAAGTAATATAGAGAATTGAGTGGTCCTTAACTTATATTGAGTAGTATATTAATAAGGTATGAATCATGACAACTGTCAATAACAAAGAAGAATCCTTGGAATTTACACAGTAAACACTACTGTATTTCTGATAGAACTTGATGGAAAGTATATTTTTCAGCTTACATATTAGAAGAATATCATCTAAAAAACACAATCATAAAATTAAATGAGTTAAAATATCTTATTTGCCCAAACTCATATCGTGAAAAGAAATTGACATAAAAATAATTTTAAGAAACTGTTAACCCTTGCAATGACAAGTAAACAAATGCAAGTTTGCAATGTACACACG